TATTGTCTTGTTCTTTCATATTATTATTGTTATTATTATTATTATTATTATTATTTTATTGGGTTGCTGTAAGTTTTTTCAGGCTATATGGCCATGTTCTAGAGGCATTCTCTCCTGACGTTTCGCCTGCATCTATGGCAAGGAATGTTTCAACAGACCACCTTGATTAGGATTTGATGGCCTGGCAGCTGTTTGGTGTGGCTTGTTAGTGCCTGGGGGAATCTTTTGTTGAGCACCTGATGAACCAACCTGGACACAGCATATTATTTGAGAACACAGAAATGCTGGACGACTCTTAACAACCACCACGCCAAACTACACAGAGAAGCCATTGAAATCCACAAGCATGTGGACAATTTCAACAGAAAGGAGGAAACCATGAAAATGAACAAAATCTGGCTACCAGTATTAAAAAACTCTAAAATTACAACAGCAAAACAACAGAGGGGAAACAATCAGGGACATCTAATCACTTCTCAACAAAAGATTGCCCCAGGTACTAACAAGCCACACCAAGCAACTGCCAGGCCATCAAATGCTAATCAAGGTGGTCAGTTGAAACATTCACACCTAGCTCCAACAGACAAGAGTTCTTTGTCCCAACCTGGTCATTCCTCAGATATATAAACCCATTTTCTTAGTTCCAACAGACCTCACTACCTCTGAGGATGATTGCCATAGATGCAAGCGAAACGTCTGGAGAGAATACCTCTAGAACATGGCCATATAGCCTAAAAAAACCTACAACCCAAATATTATATTTTCTAAAATGCAGGTGACTAATTTGATAGAAAGTGAGAATGCTATGGATGTTTCAGTAAAGCATTTGATCAGGTACCCCATACTATTTTGATTAGGAAATTGATCTAATGGGAATAATGGGAATAAAGGGAATACTGAAAGATCTGTAATTGGTTGGAAAAGCATGCTCAAAGAATCATCATTTATGGCTACACTTCAAACTGGAATGCCTCAGGGTTTTGTTCCATGGTAATTAGTTACTCTTCAACATTTTTCATCAATGACTCAGATGACAGGGTAAAGGGAATTGAAGCAAGTTTGGAGATGATACAAAATTGAGAAGGGCGGATAACATAGTGGAAGATAGGAACAGAATTCAAAATGACATTGCCAAACTATATTACCTATCTGAACATATCTCCTGTTACGAACCATCACGAAGCTTAAGATTGTCAGAGGAGGCCCTGCTCTCGATCCTACCAATCTCACAAATGTGGTTGGTGGGGACGAGGGACAGGGCCTTCTCGGCAGTGGCCCCCCATCTGTCGAACTCACTCCCTAAGGACATCAGGATGGCCACCTCCCTCCTGTCCTTTAGAAGACAATCGAAGACTTGGCTTTGGGACCAGGCGTTCATCTAACAGATAGCGACAGCTGGAAGCAAAGTTAGGAAATATGTGATACTGGATTTACCTGACTTGGTCTTGGTTTTAACTGGCATCTTAATTTATTGTTTAATGAACTTGGTAATGTATCTGTTTAATGTGTTTTAATGATTTTAACTGTTTTAATTGTAGCCCTTGTTGTTTATATGTTGACAGCATCACATGATGCTTATGTGAGGCTGTCCTGAGTCCTCCTGTGGGGGGATTAGGGCAGGGTAGAAATCCACGTAATAATAATAATAGAAATTGGACAAAAATTAATAAAATGAAATTAAATAGAAACAAATGCAAATGCATTTAGCCTACAACGCCCTAATGCATAGTTCCACGTGGAGAATACATGGTTCAGCAGAACTACATGGGGAAAAGGCCTCAGGCCTGTTGTTGATTATCAGTTTAACATGAACTAGGAATGCCACAGCAAGCAAGACAAATGTTATTTTAGTCTGCATTTATAAAAGCCTATTTTCCAAATCAATGAAAATATTTGTCTGTTTAATTATTGTATTGCAAGTATTTCTTTTTGCACTACAAATAAGATATGTGCAGTGTGCATAGGAATTCATTCATGTTTTTTTTCCAAATTATAATCTGGCCCTCCAACAGTTTGAGGGACTATGACCTGGCCCTCTGTTTAAAAAGTTTGAGGACCCCTGGTTTAAATAATGCTCCAGTAAGGCCTTCTCGCTGACCATCATGAGGTTACATGCCTGCCCCAGAGTGTGGTAGAGGCTCCTTCTTTGGAGGCTTTTAAACAGAGGCTAGATACCTGTCAGGGGTGCTTTGAATGCAATTTTCCTGCTTCTTGGCAGGGGGTTGGACTGGATGGCCCATGAGGTCTCTTCCAACTCTTTGATTCTATAATTCCACCTGAACACTAGGAAAAACTTCCTGACTGTGAGAGCCGTTCAGCAGTGGAACTCTCTGTCTCGAAGTGTGGTGGAGACTCCTTCTTTGGAGGCTTTTAAACAGAGGCTGGATGGCCATCTGTCAGGGGTGCTTTGAATGCAATTTTCCTGCTTCTTGGCAGGGGGTTGGACTGGATGGCCCATGAGGTCTCTTCCAACTCTATGATTCTATGATTCTGTGGGTGCTTTGAATGCAATTTTCTGCTTTTTTGGCAGGGGGTTGGACTGGATGGCCCATGAGGTCTCTTCCAACTAGGAGATTCCATTAGAACATGAGGAAGAACTTCCTGACTGTGAGAGCCGTTCAGCAGTGGAACTCTCTGCCCAGAGTGTGGTGGAGGCTCCTTCTTTGGAGGCTTTTAAACAGAGGCTGGATGGCCATCTGCTTCTTGGCAGGGGGTTGGACTGGATGGCCCATGAGGTCTCTTCCAACTCTTTGATTCTATGATCTATGATTCTACAATTTTCCTGCTTCTTGGAAGGGGGTTGGACTGGATGGCCCATGAGGTCTCTTCCAACTCTTTGATTCTATGATTCCACCTGAACATTAGGAAAAACTTCCTGACTGTGAGAGCCGTTCAGCAGTGGAACTCTCTGCCTCGAAATGTGGTGGAGGCTCCTTCTTTGGAGGCTTTTAAACAGAGGCTGGATGGCCATCTGTCAGGGGTGATTTGAATGCATTTTCCTGCTTCTTGGCAGGGGGTTGGACTGGATGGCCCATGAGGTCTCTTCCAACTCTTTGATTCTATGATTCCACCTGAACATGAGGAAGAACTTCCTGACTGTGAGAGCAGTGGAACTCTCTGCCTCGAAGTGTGGTGGAGGCGCCTTCTTTGGAGGCTTTTAAACAGAGGCTAGATGGCCATCTGTCGGGGGTGCTTTGAATGCAATTTTCCTGCTTCTTGGCAGGGGGTTGGATTGGATGGCCCATGAAGTCTCTTCCAACTCTATGATTCTATGATCTGTCGGGAGTGCTTTGAATGCAATTTTCCTGCTTCTTGGAAGGGGGTTGGACTGGATGGCCCATGAGGTCTCTTCCAACTCTTTGATTCTATAATTCCACCTGAACATTAGGAAAAACTTCCTGACTGTGAGAGCCGTTCAGCAGTGGAACTCTCTGCCTCGAAATGTGGTGGAGGCTCCTTCTTTGGAGGCTTTTAAACAGAGGCTGGATGGCCATCTGTCAGGGGTGCTTTGAATGCAATATTCCTGCTTCTTGGCAGGGGGTTGGACTAGATGGCCCATGAGGTCTCTTCCAACTCTATGATTCTATGATTCCACCTGAAATGAGGAAGAACTTCCTGACTGTGAGAGATGTTCAGCTATGCAACTCTGCCTCGGAGTGTGGTGGAGGCGCCTTCTTTGGAGGCTTTTAAACAGAGGCTGGATGGCCATCTGGGGGGTGCTTTGAATGTGATTTTCCTGCTTCTTGGCAAATCTTTGATTCCATGATCTGTCGGGAGTGCTTTGAATGCAATTTTCCTGCTTATTGGAAGGGGGTTGGACTGGATGGCCCATGAGGTCTCTTCCAACTCTTTGATTCTATAATTCCACCTGAACATTAGGAAAAACTTCCTGACTGTGAGAGCCGTTCAGAAGTGGAACTCTCTGCCCCGAAGTGTGGTGGAGGCTCCTTCTTTGGAGGCTTTTAAACAGATGCTGGAGGGCCATCTGTCGGGAGTGATTTGAATGCAATATTCCTGCTTCTTGGCGGGGGGTTGGACTAGATGGCCCATGAGGTCTCTTCCAACTCTTATGATTCTACGATTCCACCTGAACATTAGGAAAAACTTCCTGACTGTGAGAGCCATTCAGCAGTGGAACTCTCTGCCTCGAAGTGTGGTGGAGGCTCCTTCTTTGGAGGGTTTTAAACAGAGGCTGGAGGGCCATCTGCTTCTTGGCAGGGGGTGGGACTGGATGGCCCATGAGGTCTCTTCCAACTCTTTGATTATATGATCTGTCGGGGATGCTTTGAATGCAATTTTCCTGCTTCTTGGCAGGGGTTGGACTGGATGGCCCATGAGGTCTCTTCCAACTCTATGATTCTATTATCCCACCTGAACATGAGGAAGAACTTCCTGACTGTGAGAGCCGTTCAGTAGTGGAACTCTCTGCTTCGAAGTGTGGTGGAGCCTCGTTCTTTGGAAGCTTTTAAACAGGGGCTGGATGGCCATCTGTCAGGGGTGATTTGAATGCAATATTCCTGCTTCTTGGCAGGGGGTTGGACTGGATGGCCCATGAGGTCTCTTCCAACTCTTATGATTCTAACTCGGGACGGCCTGGATGCAGTCTTAAGCCTTTGACCGACTCTTGCCAGTCCCTACAAGCCTGGAAAGAAATCACAGCAGGCCAGGGAAGCAGGGCAGGAGATCCCTGCCAACCCACCGCCCAAAGGAATGGTGATATGATTGACGTCCCTGGCCTCTCAGAGGCAGGCCTGCACGTGGCGCCGAAAGGAGACGGGGAGACCCCTCACCAAAACCTATTCCCACTCCTCCTTTGCTTTGGAGGCTTTTATTTCCCGCCCACGCAATTCCCAATCAGTTTCCTCTGCTTAGGAACAGAGGGGTGTGTGTGAAAAGTCAGGAAGGGGGCCAAAGGGAGTGGTCTTGGGCCCTAAACGCTGCCCCCTCCCTCCCTCTTCCTCACAGAACAAAGCTTCCCTTCCCTGCGCCTCATTACCTACCGTGCTTGCCGTAATAGTTCTCCTCGTCGCGCGCCATCCCGGCCGCCTTCCTCTTCTCTCTCTTTCCTCCTTTCTCCTCTCTTTCTTTCTTTCTTTCTTTCTTTCTCCCTTCCTCCCCTCCCTCCTTCCTTCCCCAGTCAGTCAGCTGCTGAGGCGGCGCCCAATGAGGCCGCTCCTTTTCGGGGCCCGAACTGGCCAAACCTGAACAAGGCATGGAGGGAAAGCAAGGGAGGCCCTCGCCTTGCCCTTGCAGGACGGGGGCTTGGCTCTACCTCGCCCCCCCCCCAGTGAAGGCCAAACGGACTTTGGGCGGGAAACTGAGGAAGAAGGGGGTGTCTCCTAAGCTTGGAGCCAAGGGGGCAGTTGAGGGGTTCAAACTACCCCCGAAATTTTTCAAGTCACACAAAAAAACGTGTTTTACTCCTGATTTTTAACTGCTTAACCAAATTCCCAATATGCCAAGGCAGGCATGTAGCAGGGGGGGGGGAGGGGGAGCTTGAGGGGCTTCAGCCCCCCCCCCCCCCCGAAATTCTCATGGTGGTTCGCGAAAAAAGGCCTTACTGGTGCATTATTTAAACTGTTATGTTTATTCATATCATGATCTGATCACCATACTCAATATATCCCATATGCATGGGGATATTGGGGTAATTATACAAAAGGTTTGCTAGGGTAGACCCTCTTTCACTCATCAGGAAAGTGGTGATGGTGATGATGATGATAACAATTGGCCAGCAGGGCAATACACTTGTTGTTTATTCGTTCAGTCGCTTCTGACTCTTTGGGACCTCATGGACCAGCCCAAGCCAGAGCTCCCTGTCGGCCATCACCAAACCCAGCTCCTTCAGAGTCAAACCAGTCACTTCAAGGATGCCATCCATCCATCTTGCCCTTGGTCGGCCCCTTTCTTTTTCCTTCCACTTTCCCCAGCATAATTGTCTTCTCTAGGCTTTCCTGTCTCCTCATGATGTGGCCAAAGTACTTCAACTTTGTCTCTAGTATCTTTCCCTCCAGTGAGCAGTCGGGCTTTATTTCTTGGAGGATGGATTGGTTGGATCTTCTCGCAGTCCAAGGCACTCTCAGAACTTTCCTCCAACACCACAGCTCAAAAACATTGACCATTTCTGCTACCTCAGCAGCCACCTTTCCACAAAAGTCAACATTGACACTGAAACACAACATCGCCTGAGCTCTGCGAGTGCAGCTTGTTTTCCGAGTGAAGCAGAGAGTGTTTGAGGACCGGTCGTGGGTGCTTTGAATGTGATTTATAAAGCCATTGTCCTCCCAACCCTGCTATAATGCCTGCGAAACATGGACTGTCTACAGACTTCACACACAACTCCTGTAACAATTCCATCAGCGCTGCCTCCGGAAAATCCTGCAAATCTCTTGGGAAGACAGGCGGACAAATGTCAGCGTGCTGGAAGAAGCAAAGACCACCAGCATTGAAGCGATGGTCCTCTGCCATCAACTCCGCTGGACCGGCCACGTTGTCCGGATGCCTGACCACTGCCTCCCAAAGCAGTTGCTCTACTCTGAAATTAAGAATGGAAAACGGAATGTTGGTGGACAGGAAAAGAGATTTAAAGATGGGCTCAAAGCCAACCTTAAAATTTCTGGCATAGACACTGAGAACTGGGAAGCCCTGGCCCTTGAGCGCTCCAGCTGGAGGTCAGCTGTGACCAGCAGTGCTACAGAATTCGAGGAGGCACGAGTGGAGGGCGAAAGAGAGAAACGTACCAGGAGGAAGGCGCATCAAGCCAACCCCGACCAGGACCGCCTTCCACCTGGAAACCAATGCCCTCACTGTGGGAGAAGATGCGGGTCAAGAATAGGGCTCCACAGCCACCTACGAACCCACAAGGAAACGCATAATGGAAGACCATCTTACTCGTCCAACGAGGGATCGCCTAAGTAAAGTAATATATTTTCTGTTCATCGTGGGAGTTCTGTGTGCCATATTTGGTTCAATTCCATCATTGGTGGAGTTCAGAATGCTCTTGGATTGTAGGTGAACTATGCATCCCAGTAACTACACTTGCCGCACTTGCTCCCTTGCCTGGCCCGCTTTGGGTCCGGAGGCATGCCTCAAGACCCCAGCGTCTGCACCAAAAGTCACCTCTTCTCCTGACTTTCTCCTCAGCCATTGGGACCAAGAGAGACAGAGGTGGAGATGCCCACTTTTCCTGAAGGTAGTCGCAAAAACAAAGGAGGGAGCGGAGGTGGGAGATACCTCCAGCCGGAGGGGCTCTCTCTCTCTCTCTCTCTCTCTACTTAAATCAAGAAATAGTTTTCTTAGATCTACAGAGACACTGGCTGGAACACCTCAGCAAGCGAGAGTCCAAAAGTGGCAGGCTCAAACCCAGCACCTCAATCCGTGGGTGATACCAAATGAGAGTCTCCCCCCTGGGCACACAGAAGACTGGGCGACTTGGAAGGCGCTGAACAGACTGCGCTCTGGCACCACGAGATGCAGAAGAAATGGGGTTACAAAGTGGAATCCACGACATGCAAGTGTGGAGAAGAGCAAACCACTGACCACCTGCTGCAATGCAACCTGAGCCCTGCCACATGCACAATGGAGGACCTTTTTGCGGCAACACCAGAGTTCCTGAAATATGGACTGGTTGGATCTTTTCGCAGTCCAAGGCACTCTCAGAACTTTCCTCCAGCACCACAGTTCAAAAGCATCTATCTTCCTTCGCTCAGCCTTTCCTATGGTCCAGCTCTCACATCCGTAGGTAACTATGGGGAATATCATTGCTTTGACTATGCAGATCTTTGTTGCCACTGTACTGTCTCTAGGTAAAGGTAAAGGTTTTCCCCAGACATTAAGTCCAGTTGTGTCCGAATCTGGGGTGTGGTGCTCATCTCCATTTCTAAGCCGAAGAGCCGGCATTGTCTGTAGACACCTCCAAGGTCATGTGGCTGGCATGACTGCATGGAGCACCATTACCTTCCCGCCGGAGCGGTACACCTATTAGTCTACTCACATTTTCATGTTTTCGAACTGCTAGGTTGGCAGAAGCTGGGGCTGACAGTGGAAGCTCACACCGCTCCCCGGATTCGAACCTGCAACCTTTCGGTCAACAAGTTCAGCAGCTCAGTGCTTTAACCCACTGTGCCACCGGGGGCTCTATTCTTCACTATTTTATCGAGATTGGACATTGTTCTCCTCCCAAGAAGTAAGCGTCTCCTGATTTCCTGGCTGCAGTCTGTGTCTGCAGTAATCTTTGCACCTAGAAATACAAAGTCTGTCACTGCCTCCATATTTTCTCCCTCTATTTCCCAGTTATCAATCAGTCTGGTTGCCATAATCTTGGTTTTTTAAAAAATATTTAATTGCAACCCAGCTTTTGCGCTTTCTTCTTTCACCTTGATTAGAAGACTCCTCAGCTCCTCCTCCCTTTCGGCCATCAAAGTAGTGTCATCTACATATCTAAGGTTGTTAAAGTTTCTTCCAGCAATTTTAAACCCAGCCTTGAATTCATCAAGCCCCGCACATCACATGATGTCTTCTGCATACAAGTTGAATAGGTTGTGTGAGAGGATACAACCCTGCCGTACGCCTTTCCCAATCTTGACCCAGTCTACAAGCATTATCCCAACCAAATCTAGGACTTTAAGATCGTCTGAGGAGGCCCTGCACTCGGTGCCGCCTCCCTCACAGATGCATTTGGTGGGAACGAGAAACAGGGCCTTCTCAGTGGTGGCCCCTCGGCCCTATGCCCTTCCCAGGGATATTAGATTGGCCCTCTCCCTCTTAACATTTCGCAAAAAAGTTAAACTTGGCTTTTGAGCAAGCATTTGCAAATACAATGTAACAGGCAGAGACAGACCCACGGAACGACTAGACAATGTGAGTGAATAATTATTTTAGTAAGGAAATGGTGGGGATTTATGTTTTTATTGTTTTTATTGACTTTTTATGAATTTATATGCTAATGTTTTAATTGTTCTTATGTTGTTGGGGGCATCAAATTGTGTCAAATGTAAAGCTCCCTGAGTCGCCTTCAGGCTGAGAAAGGCAGTATATAAATATGGTAAATAAATAAATAAATGTATACTATTTACACTATCATGACCTACCTTTCTACCAATTTACATGGCAATAGCACCCATAGCTGACATAGTGGAGGTTTCCAAAATGTGCTAGCAGGCATGCAAAGCCTAAGACAAGCTTGAATGTGTCCAGAGGAGGGCGACTAAAATGATCAAGGGTCTGGAGAACAAGCCCTATGAGGATCAGCTTAAGGAACTGGGCATGTTTAGCCTGAAGAAGAGAAGGCTGAGAGGAGATATGATAGCCATGTATAAAGATGTGAGAGGAAGCCGCAGAGAAGAGGCTTCCCTGTTTTCTGCTTCCCTGAAGACTAGGACGCGGAACAATGGCTTCAAATTACAAGAAAGGAGATTCCATCTGAACATGAGGAAGAACTTCCTGACGTGAGAGCTGTTCAGCAGTGGAACTCTCTGCCCCGGAGTGTGGTGGAAGCTCCTTCTCTTTGGAAGCTTTTAAACAGAGGCTGGATGGCCATCTGTCAGGGGGTGCTTTGAATGCAAATTTTCCTGCTCTTGGCAGGGGGTTGGACTGGATGGCTAAACATGCCCAGTTCCCTAAGCCGCTCCTTGTAGGGCTTGTTCTCCAGACCCTTGATCATTTTAGTCGCCCTCCTCTGGACACATTCCAGCTTGTCAATATCTCTCTTGAATTGTGGTGCCCAGAATTGGACCTGGAATGTATTAAATGTGCTAATTTTGGTCAAGACAAACTATAAATATGTTGTATGTTCCTAAATTAATGAAGTTACTTCTCATCTATAATAACTACAATTTTTTTTTTGAAAACGTGGCTTTAAAATTTTGGGAATATTTACATATTTTCCATTTCCTTGCCCAGAGGGTTAGTTTTTTCACACCAAGACACCAAGCTCCAGCTAAGTATGTTTACTCTATTGTTATCTTATTGGTGTTGCTCAGCTGGCTATGTTCCCAGACTATCTTTATGAAAACACTGCTTTGCAGGAAAATGAACTTTTTGAATGCTACAAGTTCACTTTTATTCTAATTTTACTCATTTCATTTACAGATCTAGCAGTAGGGACTGGTTTTGATCGTATATATAAGCTAACCTATCACAAGCTGCACTCCCCGCAAAATTTGGAGAGCAATACATCCACTGCTCCAGAACAAAATCAAACAACTCACTCCAAATGTTTTATGAATCCATTTTCATGCTCTGCCTCTGGCA